ACCCAGGACAGAAGGAGTGATACCGCAACTTCAGAAAAATCTTGACTTGACTCATTAGCTTGAATTTTGTTGTGACGATGATACCTCGCTCTGATGATATCCGTCATATGACGGACGAGAGCTCAGCACGTGTTCACCGGAATTGAAGGAGATTGCCTCGGAAACAGCGTCAGCATGAATCTTCCCGTAGAGCCAATCGGCAGCTGGTCAAGAAGAATCCGCCGCCGTCTTTTGGTGCAACCGACCTTCGAATCTCTTCACCAAACACTTTCACTCAAAATGGAAGTAAGCTCAAGAATAATGAAACAAGAGATTCCTCGAAACCCAACTTTTCTTCGTGTATATTGTCTACAAAATGCTCACTTCACGTCAACAACGAGATGAAATACTTTGAACTGGTTCACAGAAGCCCATTCTCCCTGCCTACAGTTCACTTCCATTTTGCGTGAATGTGTGTAATGAAGGGGGTAGACACAATGCTGTCATACTTTTCTGAGGTCTCTCTCTCTCTCTTTGTCTCTCTCTCTCTCAAGCTGAGTCATCACTCGGTACCAGCGATAGATAGACAGCCCAACGAGCCGGGCCACATGTCAGCCGCCGTCCATTCTGGCGGCCATTGCATCCATCCAAGCAAACGACTCCGCCACTGACGTAACGGCCATCTCGGCGGCCATCTTGCCCAGTTGCGGATCCACTGCGTCCAGGAACCACGAGAACTCATGACAGGCGAGTTGATGCAGTTGACGACGCCGTTCTGAGACATCGCCAGCCGCCAGCCGCGGTGCCTGCGGCAGGGCGGTGTAGAACTTGGCCAAGTGAAGATGCATCAAATCCGCCGCCTGCCGGCCTGGGCTGGCTCGAGTCTGTGTCTGCGAGGAGCGGTGCAGCAAGTGGACAAGAGCCAAACGTTTGGCGTTGCGTAGAAACGTCATGGTTTTTGAAGATCTCGAATTGGCGTAAAGCCTTTTCTGTCCGGCCTCGACGACGTCATGTGCCGACGTGTGCTCTGACGTGTTCACGAGTCCACCATTCGTCCCCATGGGCCCGGCTTCGAGGTGGCCGGTCGCGAAGGTGTAGGGGTGAAAGGCGCGAAAGACATGTCCCACCCGGCAACAGGGCAGCATCTCAATCCTGCCGCCGCACAGCCAGGCCCTCAACGAGAGGTCGATGTTCTCGACGCCCCACGTGCGCATCTCTTCGTCATAGCCGCCCAGACGGAGGAAGGTCCGTTTGAGCAGACTGAAGATGCCACCCGCGATGACGGGACTCGGATAGGGCCGGACTCGACGGTCGTGTGGGTCGGTGCGATTGGACGAGGCGGCCGGCTGTCGCCAGTAGAACATGAAACGCCAGTCAAACGCGCCCTCGAGACCCTGCATGGCTTGGCCCATGTGGAAGGTGTGCGCATCAATCGGGTCTATGATTGGACTGACGATGAGACGGTCGCGAGCAGGGCTCGAACGATCTGGCGCCGACCGCGGCGCCAGTCGGTAGAGCTGGCCCTCCAGCCAGCCGGGCATCACTTCCACGTGGCTGTCCAAGAAGGTGAGCGCCTCTTCGCGCTCGTCTCCTGGCGCCGGTCGGCTCGACGGGGACTCGCGACTCGAGTCGGCGGCCCGAACTGCCTTCATGCGGGCTCGCATCAGACCCTCTCGACGGTCGGTCCGAATCAGCAGGATCTGAAAAAATAGGGAAGGCCAGTAGAAAAGACTCACTGTTCCTTGGTAACTGGGACTTAGAGACAGTCGGCGCGTAAATCACATACATCAAATGTGTCCGGTATATTTCGGCAATTTTCCCCAAATCACATGAGCCGACGTCAAGTTCACATTGCGTTTCACATGGACTTGCTCATTCAGACAGGACTGCACTGCAGTTTCAGCCTTGTTCGGCACTCGGTAGAATGCCCGACGGGACTCGAACCATGACGGGGCAGAGTGGCATCTTGACACGTTAGTCACGAGTGCCCTTGGATGACAGATGGCAGATGCGAAGTTGAAGGAAGATGAGGCATTTTCCCATATCACATTACCTTACATGGAATAGGGTGAACACACCTATTGGGTCTGATTTACTGGCCATGTGAAATTCAATGAAAACGTCAGCTCAACTCATGTCATTGTGGGAAAATTCTACGAAATAGAGTGAATACATGTCAGAGTACCTTTGAAGAAATGGGGAATACACACTCCACTCACATAATGGTGGGAAATTTCAACTACCAATCATGCATCACTTCAAACGAAATAAAGTGAACAAATCTCGCATAGGAGGACTAAGCACGTTCATGCGGTGAAGCCATCTCGACCGTCTAGGGTGTTTCAATGTTCTGGAGACTTTCGCTTCTTCGGAAAGTGAAAGGCCTCTTCCCTCGTTGCGGCGGGAAGCAGGCTGAGTTTTCGTACATCATCGTTTTTGCAAGTGTCGCAAATTTACACTGAGTCGAGAAGAGTATCCGGTCCTTTTATACATTCTCTACATGCTTGTAACTAAAAATAAAATATATAGGATGTTGAATATATGAAGACCAAGATGTTGTGGCCTCTGGTGTGGTAGCAGTCTCCTTTCGATTTATAGAAGTGGGTTGACTTCGTTGTCGCAACTTGGTCTTGTTTTCAGGGAGACCATGTAGAACACACCAAGTCCGAAGTCATCTGCCATAGTAGTTGCCATGATTCCCAGCATCTGACAGTGGACTTGGTACATTCTCAAACATTTCGCCGGCATCGTAGTCAACTTCATCAGTCAGTTTTGCCAGTATCCGCACCAAGCTACGAACTCGTCAAAGAGACAAGTGAAGCCAATCCCTCGACAAATGTTCTGCCTAAAACGGTTACACTATCACTCCTCTTTCTGTCCTGGCCATTGATAGGGCGTCAATGGGATAAGAGGGTAAAGAGTAGATAGAAAGAGGAGTGATAGTGTAACCGTTTTAGGCAGAACATTTGTCGAGGGATTGGCTTCACTTGTCTCTT